CACAACGCCCGGCTATTTTTTGCTTGCAGCCGTCATTGTTGTTTGGCGGGTCCGGGCTGGGGATTCGAACCCGCCACCTTTGGTGTACGTGGCTGGCGCCTTAGCCGGTTGAGCTATAGGCGCTGAGCCAATTTGTCTAACTTTTAACACTTGTCATGGCAGCCCTTGCAAACTAATGTACTTCATCGTTTCCTTCTAGTTCTTACTATTATGTTTGTGTGTGTGTGTGTGTGTGTGTGTGTGCTTTGCAACAGAGTCAGAGCTCACCGCAACCTCAAACTCCTGGGCTCAACCAATCCTCTTGCTTCAGCCTGCTGAGTACCTGGGACTACAGACACCCACCTCAACACTCAGCAAGTTTTTCTATTCTTAGTAGTGAGGGTGTCTTGCTCTTATTCATGCTGGTCTTGAACTCCTAAGCTCAAGCAGTCCACCTGCCTCGTCCTACCAGAGTGTGAGGATTACAGGTGTGAGCCAACATGCCTGGCCCATCAGTTCTTACTATTAAGTTCTTCATTTCTTCCAGTATGTCTCTAATTTCTAAGAACCATTCTTTTGTTCTTCGTAGGTATCCTTTTTGTCACATCCTCCTCTGATTTCATGTCTGTAATACATTCTTCCATTTCTCTGATAAAACTAGCAATGTAGGCTCAGCACCTGTAGCACAGTGGTTACGGCGCCAGCCACATACACTGAGCATGGCAGGATCAAACCTGGCCCAGGCCTGCTCAACAACAATGGCAACTGCAACAAAAAATAGCCCTGTGTATCTGTGGTGGGAGCCTGTAGTCCCATCTACTTGGGAGGCTGAGGCAAGAGATCACTTAAGCCCAAGAGTTGGAGGTTGCTGTGCACTGCTGTGACAACACAGCACACTACCACCACGGGCAACATAGTGAGACTCTGTCTCAAAACAAACAAACAAACAAACAAAAAAACCCAAACAAACTAGAGAGGTACATATTCAAAGCTTTCTTTTCCTAGGTGAGTCTGTTGTCAAGTTTCCTGTTTTATGTCTGTCCTAGTAAAGGCTTTTCTCAGGTGTCTCTAAATCTCCTGTTTAAGGGTAGACTTTGAAAAAGCTGAGACCACCCAGCTGAGAGAGAGTAAAGCGTATTAAATGTAGGGGGATATGTGGGCTCTTTTTTGGGGAACCCTGAATGTAAATGTCTTTAGGTCTTACCCACTGGGCTAGTCAGACTCCTCCTGTCTTCCTAAAAGCGATCTAGAGCCTCAATCTTCCTCATGCAAAGTCACACATCCTGCAGGGGGAGGGCTAGGTGCCGAGTTCTGGGGAACAAGCTCCCCTGCAGAGCAGGTGGGGGAGGGGCAGCACTGTGCAGTCTGAGAGCACATCCACAGCCTTTAACGTCTCCTTGCTGAGTCCTCTCCATGCCTCACCTTTACTGAGCAACCAATTTCTGACCTTTTGGAGAGTTCAGTTGGTTTTTGGTTTTTACAACTTGGCTTAGAATGTGGCTGTCTCAAAACCCATGGCTAGTTATCCATCTATTTTCCAACTTAAAATAATTTCTTGTTGTTGTCCCCTCTCTATTCTCCAGACCTGTGTGGGTTTTTTGCTTAAAAAAAAAATCTTTTATTGGTGTTCCAAGAGGGAAGAAAATGGTATGTTTCTTTTTTTATTAAATCATAACTGTGTACATTGATGAATTTATGGGGTTCAGTGTACTGATTTGATATACAATGTGAAATGCTTACATTGAACTGGTTAACACATCCATCACAATTATATTCTTTTCTTAATAGTTTTGAAATGTACCATTGCATCATGCATGTTAGGTGAGGTCCCCCAAATACCCTCCCTCCTTCTGCAGTATGTTGTTGTTTTTTTTAAGACAGAGTCTTACTATTGCCTGCCCTCTGTAGAGTGCGGTAGCATCATAGCTCACAGCAACTCCGAACTCTTCAGCTTAAGCAATTCTCTTGCTTCAGCCTCCCAAGTAGCTAGGACTACAGGTGCCTGCCACTAGCCCCGGCTATTTTTTGTTGCAGTTGTCTTTGTTGTTTAGCTGGGCCAGACAGGGTTCGAACCCTCCACTCTCTGTGTATGTGGCTGGTGCTGTAACCACTGTGCTACAGGCATTGAGCCCACCATGTGGTTTTTTTGTTTTTGTTTTTGTTTTTGAGACAGATTCTCTAGCTGTTACCCTGGGTAGAGTGCTATGACATCACAGCTCACAGCAACTTCCAACTCCTGGGCTCAAGCGATTCTCCTGCCTACACCTCCCAAGTAGCTGGGACTACCGTGTTTCCCCGAAAATAAGACACTGTCTTATATTTATTTTTTTTTTCAAGAAGACACACTAGGGCTTATTTTTAGGGGATGTCTTATTTTTATTAAGTATAATACAACAATCTACATTTATTCTAATATAGTTAAGTCATCTTCTTCTGGAACCTGACAGGGGGAACCAACCTTATTGGTGGGGCTGGCGCTAGTGATACATGAACTCCCTTTCCCTAGCCATTCGCACATGTGCAATAGGATGCCTGCGACCGCGGTTACCACCTGCGTACCTGTGCAAGTGCGAAGGCTTGGAGAAAAGAGCTGTGGCAGATAAAAGGTATTCCAGTCTTCCTTATGGCTCCATGCCAAAATGCATCACTAGGATCACTAATAAGACCCATCACTAGGTCTTATTATTGGGATAGGGCTTATATTTTACAAATGCATAGAAATCCTGCTAGGGCTTATTTTTTGGGTAGGTCTTATTTTCAGGGAAACACAGTACAGCTGCCCGCCACAATGCCCAGCTATTTTTTGGTTGCAGCCATCATTGTTGTTTGGTGGCCCGGGCTGGATTGGAACCCACCAGCTCATGTGTATGTGGCTGGCGCCTTAGCTGCTTGAGCCACAGGTGCTGAACCAATAGCATTGTTGATTTTTTTTTTTTTTTTTTTGCAGTTTTTGACTGGGGCCAGGTTTGAACCCACCACCTCTGGTATATGGGCCTGGCACCCTACTCCTTTGAGCCACAGGTGCCGCCCCGAAGTATGTTTTTTAATGACGTATCTTTACCTGCAAGTCTCAAGGTCTTTTAAAGACCAGCATTCACTTTTATGATAAAGGCACTCAGCAAACTAGGAATATAGGGAACTTTCTCAATATGATAAAGGACATCTATGAAAAACCCATAGCTGGCCATGCCTTAGCACTGTGGGAGCCTGAGGCGGGTGGATAGTTTGAGCTCACGAGTTCATGACCAGCCTGAATAAAAGCAAGACCCCATCTCTACTAAAAATAGAAAAAACTGAGGCAAGAGGATCACTTGAGCCCAAGAGTTGGAGGTTGCTGTGAGCTATGATGCAACAGAACTCCACCCAGGGCAACAACTTGAGACTCTGTCTCAAAAAGAAGAAAAGGTGGGGCAGTGCCTGTGGCTCAAAGGAGTAGGGCACTGGCCCCATATACCAGAGGTGGTGGGTTCAAACCTGGCCCTGGCCAAAAAAAGAAGAAGAAAAGGAAAGGAAAGATAAGACCCCGGAGGCCCAGGTGGGTATATTGCTTGAGCTCAGGAGTTTGAGACCAGCTTGAGCAAGAGCAAGATCCCATCTCTAAAAATAGCCAGACATTGTGGCGGGTGCCTGTAGTCCCAGCTACTTGGGAGACTGAGGCAAGAGAATCACTTCAGCCCAAGAATTGGAGGTTGTTTTTTTATTTTTTATGTTTATAATAGGTTTTAATTTTTTTTCTTAAAATATAGGTTTATTAAAGCATATTTAATAGCATTTTATTTCAATTCTTCATGAATTTTCTGTTCCTTGATCATTTTTCTTATTGTTATATACAGGACACAAGCACTGATGTTTACCATGATTCATGGCTCTACTGACTATGCAGCCTTTCGAATGTCAAAAAGTAGTTTCAAACATTTTGAAAAGTTCAGGAACAGCCTAGGATTTTGCAGTTGTTTTTGAAGGCTGGAATTTTCCTGCTTCAAATTCTTTGAATTTTAAGTAGTCTCTTCTTTTTTTTTTTTTTTTTTTTTCTTTTGAGACAGAGCCTCAAGCTGTCCCCCTGGGTAGAGTGCTATGGCTTTACTGCTCACAGCAACCTCCAGCTCCTGGGCTCAAGCGAGTCTCCTGCCTCTGCCTCCCAAGTAGCTGGGACCACAGGCGCCCGCCACAACGACCGGCTATTTTTTGGTTGCAGCCATTATTGTTGTTTGGCAGGTACGGGCTGAATTCGAACCCGCCACCTTAGGTGTATGTGGCTGGCGCCTTAGCCGGTTGAGCCACAGGCACCGAGCCAAGTAGTCTCTTCTTTTATCAAAATATTTTATCCACTGTTGGGGACAGTTTGATCCAAATGATCGTCTTAACTTCTTACATTGAGAAGCATCCTCTGTGTTCTCATCTAAACGCTTCCAGTACTCATCCTGGGCTTCCCAGCAAACCTGCCTTTCCTTCATAGATGGGGCTGCCATTCCTAGGGGTGTCAAGCACAAAAAGGAATTCATATCACCAAACCGGCAGCTTCCTACTGACCCTTATGGGCTACTGTTCCAAGAGTTGGAGGTTGTCGTGAGCTATGATGCCACAACACTCTACTAAGGGTGACAAAGTGAGACTCTGTTTTAAAAAAAGCATCAAAAAATAAAATGCTTAGAAATAAGTTTAACAAAAGTACAAAACCTATACACCTATACTCTGAAATCTGGAAAACATTGTTGAAAGAAATAAAAAAGGCCTAAGTAAATGGAAAGACAGCTTAAGTTCACCAATTAAAAGACTTAATATCAGTGAAATGGCAATACTCTCTCAAATTGGGTCTGCAGATTCAGTGCGGTCTGTATCAAAATCAGAGCTGACTTCTTTGCAGAGACTGACAAGCTGATCCTAATATTCACATGGAAATGCAAGGAATAGCCCAAAACATCTTAAAAAAAAGAAAAAGAACAAAAATAAAAGGCTCATACTTTCTGATTTGAAAACTTAGAACAAAGAAACAATAATCAGTATAGATCACTGGAACAGAATTAAGAGTCCAGAAATAAATCCTCACAGGTATCAATTGATTTTTGACAAGGGTGTGAAAAGAATACAATGAGAAAAGAATAGTTCTTTTCACAAATGGTGCTGGGACAACAGGATATCCACATGCAAAGGAATAAAGCTGAACTCCCATTTCATATAATACATAAAATTAACTCAAAATGGGCTCAGCAGGCGGCGCCTGTGGCTCAGTGGGTAGGGCACCAGCCCCATATACTGAGAATGGAGGGTTCAAACCTGGCCCCAGCCAAACTGCAACAAAAAATTAGCCAGGCGTTCTGGCAGGTGCCTGTAGTCCCAGCTACTCGAGAGGCTGAGGCAAGAGAAACACCTAAGCCCAGGAGTTGGAGGTTGCTGTGAGCTGTGACATCATGGCACTCTACCAAGGGCAATAAAGTCAGACTCCGTATCTCAAAAAAACAACAAAAAAAATAGGCTCGGTGCCCATAACTTAGTGAATAGGGCACCGGCCACATACATTGAGGCTGGCAGGTTTAAGCCCGGCCAGGGCCTGCTAAACAACATCAGCCAGAAATAGCCGGGTGCTGCGGCAGGGGCCTATAGTCCCAGCTACTCGGGAGGCTGAGGTAAGAGAATCGCTTAATCCCAAGAGTTTGAGGTTGCTGTGAGCTGTGGAACCATGGCACTCTACTGAGGGTGACATACTGACCCTGTCTCCAACAACAAAAAAAAAAAAAAGAACTCAAAATGGATCAAAGCCCTAAATGTAGGCACTAAAACTATAAACCTATTAGAAGAAAACGAGGATAAGTCTTCATGATCTTGGATTGGCACCAGTTGTTTGCATGATACGAAAAGCAAAAGCAATCAAAGGAACATTAATAAATTGGACTCCATAAATATTAACTCTGATGCTTCTTTGAAAGACACTATCAAGAAAGTAAAATGTGCCAGGTACAGCGACTCACCCTTGTAATCCCAGCACTTTGGGAGGGTAAAGTGGAAAGATCACTTGAGGCCAAGAGTTTGAGACCAGCGTGAGCAACATAGCAAAACTCTACCTCTACAAAAATGAAAAAAAAAAAATGAGGTGGGTGTGGTGGCATAGGCCTGTAATTCTAGTTACTCAAGAGGCTGAGGCAGAGGATCACTTTCTTTTGAGCATGGAAGTTCAAGGCTGCAGGGATCTATGATTGTACCACTACACTCCAGCCTAAGGAAACAGAGTAGGACCTTGTCTAGAAAAGAAAAAAGAGGCTCGGCGCCTATAGCTCAACCGGCTAAGGCGCCAGCCACGTACATCTAAGGTGGCGGGTTTGAATCCCCAGCCCGGACCTGCCAAAGAACAATGATAGCTGCAACCAAAAAATAGCTGGGCGTTGTGGCGGGCGCCTGTGGTCCCAGCTACTTGGGAGGCAGAGGCAGGAGACTCGCTTGAGCCCAGGAGTTGGAGGTTGCTGTGAGCTGTAATGCCACGGCACTCTGCCCAGGGGGACAGCTTGAGGCTCTGTCTTAAAAAAAAAAAAAAAGAAAAGAAAAGAAAAGAAAAAAGAAAATGAAAACATAAACCACAAAAAGAGGAGAAAATATTCTCAAATCATATAACCTATAAGAGACTTGTGTATAAACTATATAAAGAACTCTTAAAACTCAATAATAAAAAGACAACCTAATTAAAAATTGGGCAAAAGATCGGAATAGAAAATTTTCTAAAAAATATATACAAATAGCCAAAAAGCACATAAAAAGATACTCACCATCATTACCCAGCAGGAAATGAAAATCAAAACCAGAATAAGACAGATACACTTCACATCCATTAGGACGACTATAACAAAAGCCAGATGATGTAATAAGTTTTGGTGAGGATACGGGAAAAATGGGAACCACTGGGCACTGCGGCTGGGGATGTAAAATGGCGCAGCCACTTTGAAAATAGTCCGGAAGTTTCTCAAATATTAAACATAGACACACAATACAATCCAGCAATTCTGGGGTACACAACCAAGAAATGAAAACATGAAAACTTGAACACAAATATTCATAGCAGGATTATTCGCAATAGCTTCTAGGTGGAAACAACCCAAATATTCCTTAACTAATCAATGGATAAATGAAATGTATCATGCAATTTCCTATGTTGGCAATAAGAAGAAATAACGGTTCTTTATACCGATAAAACCGTACAACACAGATGAACCTCGAAAAGATCTCAAATGAAAGAATCCAGACACAGAGCTCACATACTGTATGATTCTGTTGATGTGAAATGTCGACAACAGGCAAGTCTATAGAGACAGAAAGGAGATTAGTGGTAGCTTAGAGCTGGGGAGAGATTTGGAGAGAAATAAAGAGTGATTGCTAATGGGCAGAGTTTCTTAAGGGAGTGATGAAAGCGTTCTGAAATTGATTTGGCGATTGCTGTGAATATATTAAAAATTATTGAATCGTCTACTTTAAATGGTTGAATTACATGGTATGTGAATTATATGTAAATAAGTCTGGCTTTTCCTAAAAAGTTCAATTTTAAATGCCCTGGCTTCTGTGTTGCTACTATAGCCCTTTATGCTAATTTTTGAAGGAGTTGGGCTGTGCATTACAAACCAGCATAAGAGATAGTTGGGGGCATGAACATTGGGTCAGGCAGCCCTGGGTGGATTCAGGCACACCTGCTACTTACCAGTTATATAGTCATGAATTAATGGCTTAGCCTCTCTGGGCCTCAGTTTCATAGTCTGCAGAAGGAGATTAGTAATAGAACCACAAGAAGGATTTTATATTCATTAATTTATTTATTTTTGAGACAGAGCCTCAAGCTATCCCCCTGGGTAGAGTGCTGTAGCATCACAGCTCACAGCAACCTCCCATTCCTGGGCTCAAGCGAGTCTCCTGCCTCAGCATCCCAAGTAGCTGGGACCACAGGTGCCTGCCACAACGGCTGGCTATTTTTTTGGTTGCAGCGACATTGTTGTTTTGGTGGGCCCAGGCTGGATTTGAACCTGCTACCTTAGGTGTATGTGGCTGGTGTCTTAGCCACTTAGGCCACAGGCGCTGAGCCAAGATTTTATATTTAAAAGCAAAACCCTGCTAAATGGACAGGAGAAAACACTAAAATGCTTTTTGCCTATCTTCCACCTATGAAGAATGTGTTGGAGGGATTTTTTTTTTTTTTGAGACAGAGTCTCACTTTGTCATCCTCAGTAGAGTGCCAATGGTGTCACAGCTCACAGCTCACAACAACCTCAAACTTGTGGGCTCAAGAGACCCTCTTGCCTCAGCCTCCCAAGTAGCTGGAACTACAGGCACCTGCCACAATGCCTGGTGATTTTTAGAGCTAGGGTCTCGCTCTTGCTCAAGCTGGTCTTGAACTCTTGAACTCAGGCAGTCCACCCACCTCAGCCTCCCAGAGGGCTTGACTACAGGTGAGAGCCACCAGGCCAGCTCTCTGGAGGGATGTTTTAAAGAGAACCTTTTTGGTTATAAGAGAGCAAAACAAAGCAGCTTAAGCAAACAAAGGGAATGAATTGGTTTGTGTTACTGGGAAATCCAGGAGTAGCTTCAGGTATGGCTGGATCCAGGGGCTTAATTGTCATCCCTTCCTCCTTCTCTTCTTACTCTATGGTAGTGGTTAAAAGTGCCTCTGGAGCCAGATTGCCTGGGGTTGAAGCTTACTTGTTATATACCTTGAGCAAGTTACATGACTTTTCTACACCTCAGTTTCTCCCTCTATATAAAATGATGATGGTGATAAAAATGCTGATCTCAGAGGAAGGTTGTAGAGATTTAGCAAAATAATGTATAATTGGTTTGAATAGTGGTTGGCACAGTAAATGCTAGATAAATCTTTGCTATTATCATTACAGGCGGTCCCTGAGTTACAAACATCTGACTGATATATAACTTGCACTTACAAATGGAGGCTATTACAGGTAATAGGCAAATGTCGCTGTTCCAACTTACATACCAATTCAACTTAAGAACAAATCTACAGAACCCATCTCATTCATAACCTGGGGACTGCATGTATTATTATAGGCAGCTGCACCCAGGAACAATACATCAAGCAAGAGGTTTGGTTCTTAGAAACTTGGTCTATATCCTGATAGCATAATGATTTAGAAAAAAAAGAGAGGGGGATGGTGGGGGGCAGTGGCTCATGCCTATAATCCCAGCACTTTGGGAGGCCAAGGTGGGTGGATTGCCTGAGCTCACAGGTTCTTTTTTTTTTTCTTGAGACAGAGTCTGCTTTGTCACCTTTGGTAGAGTGCTGTGGCATCATAGCTCACAGCAACCTCCAGTTCTTGGGCTTAGGTGATTCTCTTACCTCAGCCTCCCAAGTAGCTGGGACTACAGGCGCCCGCCACAATGCCTGGCTATTTTTTGTTGCAATTTGGCTGGGGCCGGGTTTGAACCTGCTACTCTCGGTATATGGGGCCAGTGCCCTACCCACTGACCAACAGGTGCTGCCCAA